CTCTGGTGTCATCTACAACATCATGATGGCCTACACAGTCGTGGTCGCGGTCTTAGCTTACTTCTTTCTCTTCAGTGGCTTCTTCATTAGTCGCGATCGAATACCTCCTTATTGGATATGGTTTCACTATATGTCCTTAGTGAAATACCCTTACCAAGGGGTGTTACAAAATGAATTTTCTGATCCCAACAAGTGTTTTGTAAAGGGTGTCCAGCTTTTCGACACCTCGCCATTGAGGGCTGTCCCTGAGGCCTTAAAGATCAAGTTGTTGCAAAACATGAGCAAGACATTGGGAATGAACATAACAAACACAACATGTTTGACAACAGGATCAGATATATTGAAGCAAAGTGGTGGGACTGACTTGAACAAATGGACTTGTTTTTGGATCACAATTGGTTTGGGATTTTTCTTTAGGATTCTCTTCTATTTTGCTTTGTTGATTGGAAGCAAAAATAAGAGGAGGTGAAAACCTATGTTACTCAGACTCTTCAAAAAAGTCAACAGGTATTTTTGAAGAATTCGACATGGGTGCAATATCAAAAGTGAAGAGTCCGCGGGAAAACAAGATGAAGAAAAAAATTAATCTCACCATAAGTTTACTAAGTAGTTCTTTTTTTAATCTTAATTTTAATTGAGTAGCTCTTTTCTCCTATGTTTTCTTAGGCATTATTAATATGCTTATTTTCAAGTGTTCAATATGTTGTTAAATAATGTTCATCAAGTTGTATTCAGATTTTTAGCTTCTGATATTGTTAGTTCCACTATTTTATGGAGAATGTAATTTGCAGATATCCTTCTAACTTATGTTGTTTGATCTCTTCAAAAATGTCATTGGGTGTGCGTTGGATCCTTCAAAAGTAGTGCATTTTTTAAGGATCTGACACGAGCGCGATAACTTTTTTAGAGTGTCCGAGCAAGTTAGCTTCTAACCATTTGGTCTATATGTTTTATAATCATCTGGGATATAAATTCCTCGTTTCAATTTGTTTATCTTGTTTTGACTTAACAGGAAATTTAAGAAAGTGAAAATGACTTTTGAATTTTGTGAATTTAAATGTGTCATTGGAAAGTTGAAACTAAAAAGTTGTCAAAAACAAAAAAGAACATTCTTTTTGACAGACTAAACAAAAAAATAAGATCAACAAATTAAAACAGAAGGAGTATAAGAAATAAACAATACCTTGCTTGACATTGAAACTCAATTTCTCTTGAGCATGATTATATGTTACTTGTGGTAGAAAAAGGTCCTTTTCTTTTGTATAGATTGAAAAAAAGTAGGTGGTAATTTGATAGAATGTAGGATATAATATGGGGTGTCCTTGTCATATATTTGTAAATGGAAATAATTGCTCTTTCAATATAGTCGCATCTCTTTTTAAAAGATGTTTTAAGTAATCATAAATATAGCATGAAAACATTTTTTTTTTAAAAATCCACCTCAACTATTTGAATTCAGAGAGATAAACCTAAGCGCTCCAAGCCAAAACAGAAAAGAAAAAGAATGCAACTATGTAATACATTTTCGGATTTTCCTTTCTCTCCAAGCCAAGCGATCACCTTTTTAGTTAACAACGAACCTGCCCTTTACAACTTGTTACCAATTGTATTATATTGTTGGTTTAAATCAATGTTTGTTTTAATTATTATTTAAATTTTATTGTATCATATCATTATGTAATTATGAAAAGTCTTAATTATATACTGACCAAATTGATGTGATCAAGTTGTCACCTTATGTTTTTCCTTTTTATTTTATCTTTGCTTGTCAGCTAATAATCTATTTCTTGTAGGTTTTGCTTTCAAATTACTCATGTGATACGTTACGTAATGATGAAAAATGAGATAATCTATTCAAACAGTATATTCATCAAGACGATACAATACAATACGAAACCTATGAGGCTAACAACCATCCAAACAATTTTCACTTTGGGCTCAATAAAATGGGCCTATAAACCAAAAACTAATTTTGGGCCTCAATCAATCTTAACCGTCCGGTATACAATCACTGAAATCTGAGCCGTTCATTTTCTGTATGTCGGTTCAAGAAATAGATAACGTTCGATAATAAGAGTTTCTTCGTTTTTCTTTTTACAGGGTTTAGATAAGCAGCCAAAGAAAAGTTACAAAGGAATTTCGCTTATTTGGGTAATTTTATTTTTTACCTTGATTAGTTAATTTTAATTGTTCTTTAATTGCCTTAAAATTATTGATTTTTAGGGAATCTTGATTTGTATTGGTGAGAAATTGTGGTGGTTGTTTCTGAAATGTTGTGGGGTTTTTTAGATTCTTTTTATTTTTTTGGGTTTGTGAGTATTTGTGGAATTTTTGTTAGGATTTAGTATAAAGCTGAGATTTTTATCCAATTTTTTGATTTTTTTTGTTGTGAGGTTGGACTAGGTTAAAAGTGTTGTCATCCTATTATGTGATTTCTAATAGTGAGAAGTTGTGTAGGTTGTTTCCTGTCAACAATTATGAAAAAAGATTGAAGCTTTTGGTTTTGTGCTCTTGAAATTGTTGAATTTATTTGATTTGGGATTGGATTGAGTTGGGAGTTATGGTTTCTTGAAATGTGAATTTGTGGTGGTTATTCTGTCTATTTTCTTTTTGTGTGCGTGTTTTCTTGTTATGAAATTTGATTGTGAAGTAGCATGATTTCTAGAAATGTGAATTTGTGGTTGGTTCTGATTATGTTGTCTGTTTTCTTGTTAAAAATTTCGGGTAGAAAATTTACTGAGTTTCTATTGATGTGAGTTCTGCATGCTTTTCTTCATTCGTAGTGGTACACCAGTAACTATTTGGCGTTGTAGTACCTTTTGGAAGTTCAAGCTTTCTCAATTTCGAAAAGAAAGTTAAAGCTTAATCATTCTTTGTACATGAAGGAGAAATTTGCTACTAGGAATATGTTAGATTCTTATTATATGGAATGGTTATGGTTGTTTTTACTCGCTGAAAGCTTATGTAAAATTGGTTGTAAGAAGTATACTGTGAGTTGATCTTTTTGAGGTAGGAGGTGTCGCTTAGGTTCCATAATTGGTTGAGATATTTCAATACTGTAGCTAAAATCAAACTACTTTGGTTAGATTCTGCTTGAGTTGAATCTAGCTCAAGTGGCAAAAGGTGGAGGATTTGTGGCTTAGGTCACAGGTTCAAGCCCCACACCATGCAAAGCGAAGCCCGGTATTTAAGTGGAGAAGGGTAGAGGGGGCGGGGCCCATTATCCACCGAGTTTAGAAGGATGTGATTGGTCCAAAGGGCGGGTCACAGACGGATTTCGCGGTTATCAAAAAAAAAAAAAAGATTCTGCTTGAGTTGAATCTAGCTCAAAGTGGCAAAAAGGTGGAGGATTTGTGGCTTAGGTCACAGGTTTCAAGCCCCACACCATGCAAAGCGAAGCCGGTATTTAAGTGGAGAAGGGTTAGAGGGGCGGGCCCATTATCCACCGAGTTTAGAAGGATGTGATTGGTCCAAAGGGCGGGTCACAGACGGATTTCTCGGTTATCAAAAAAAAAAAAAAAAAGATTCTGCTTGAGTTGATGGGAAGTTATCTGAGTTGGATTGTGTAAATTGAATATGTCAGGTTGAATAGGCTTATTTTATTTTTTCTGTTTTGAAATTTTAAAGAGCTTAGACACATTCTTGTTTATGCTTGATTATCTTTTGAACTCTTATTTTTCTCTGTTGGATGGGATCTTTACGCTTCCAAAAGCCTTTCAGTGATTCAAGTCCTTTAACTAGCTCAAATAAGTTTGCGTTTTGGCTCATATTAATTTTGTGCTTAGATAAGTTTTTAACATGTAATTTTGTTATAGAATAGCTTAGGCTTAATCCATCGGTAGCCCCCTAAAGTTGGCACAATGTTTCACTTAGACACCTCATGTAGGATTCAGTTGTGTCATTTTGACACCTTTTTTAGTATCAGCAAAAATCAGCAAAAACATATAATTGTGTGAATTACACTCGCCCATGACATGTAAAGTGTCAAATTAAACGACGACATTTGTCATTTGTGTCAAAAATAATTTTTAAATAATTAATGTTGAGTAAAAATAAAAACTGACCCAATGAAACATGATATTTTCCCAAATAAAAGTAAAATAAAATTTAAGCCAAGAACCCACCCCCCAACAAAACACCCCACCCCTGATCGTCTTCTCCAAACCATCCCCCCCCCTTCCGATAGTCTTCTCCAAACCACCCCCGATCACCTTCTCCAAATACACTTCCTCCCAACCCCCTATCGCCTTCTCCAAAACCCCCAAACAAACAAATCCCCTTTCTGATTTGAATTTCTGTTTTGGGGTTTGCAAAATAACCCCTGGCTCCCCCTCTTTGCTTTCTCCAAATTCCTATCCCTTTTTGTAGAAATTACCCACACTTGCATGCTGCGCTTCGTTGAATTCACTCCCCGCAAATTATTGAAATAAGCTTTTATTAATCTTTCTTAAATTCACTTTGTCGTAAATATTAAATTTTCCATGAAAGAATTTTATCAATGAGTTTATTCTTGAATTTTAAAAAAAAATTCCGTCATTTTTGTTGAAAAACCTTATTTAACAATGGATGAAATTTAATTTGGTCATTAAATTTGGTCAAAATGGTGGCTGAAAATGGGGAAGAAGATGAAAAAAAATAATTAAAATTAACTAAATAACTCTTTCACGCGCCTATCAATGAGTGGACACACTCATGGGCAAAAAGAGTTAAAATGACTCAGCGAGTTTCTATATTAGGTGTCTATAATGAACATCTCTCAGTTAAGGTGTCTAAAGGAAACATCGTGCCAACTTTAGTGGGCCGCCGATGGGTTATGCCAATAGCTTAATGTGCTAGTTTTCATTTCTTGTTTGTTGTATTACCCCAGGATTAGTTCTGCTCTAAATTACTTTTTGGCATGTTTGAATGGGTCTGACACATCTTGTGCTGGGTGATTTATAATGTTTGTGAACGGATGAAGTTATAATATTATATCATCTTCGTTCTGTGCATATTTTCAGTTTGAGAATTGTGCTGTAAAGATGCCTCGTTATGATGATCGGATGGGAAATAGCACTCGTCTCTATGTGGGACACTTGTCTTCACGGACCCGTTCACGTGATCTGGAGCGTGCGTTCAGTAAATATGGGAGGTAATTTTTTTTCTAGATTCTTGGCACATCATGCATTTCGTTGTATAGGCCTAAGGCCATCACCGTGTCATTTGCTTTCTTATTGCTTTTGATACTGCCAGTTGCCATTGAGCAACAGAAATTGCGAAAATTCTGTGGGAAAATTATTATTGTTATAACCATTTAATGTTGTTTGTTGATGTCCTAGAAAACGTTGGGTGATGTTTTCCTTTTATATGTTGGTCTTATGGGACTATGTTCCATCTACCTTACAGTTCAATGCAATCCTAATTCCTACCCAAGTTGCTTCTTCCGTGAAGGTGCTTCATTTAACAATAATGGAGGGATATTTCTATTTGTCAATGAGATACTTGGCTCCTTAGGGTTGTAGCATTAGATCTCAAATCGATGGTTCACCTAGGCTTGTAAAATTGGACGGGGGTACTGGCGAAATATTTCTGTGCTACTCTTTTTGTCCAATTTCTCATATATTTCTTTTCCTTCATCTGGAAGGGAGTTTTATGCCCCACTGTTCTGTTCAACCAATTTATATGACATACTAAGATCATAGTCGCCTGCTCTGTGTGCCCTTATAATTGTTTGTCATAAAGCTCAAGTTCTTATTTGTGTTCTGATATTGTACAATAACTCGATGGTTTCCTGTGGGGAACACCTTAGAAATGCACAGTTGGTTTAGCACACCAGCAGAAAGTCAGTGGAGGTTTACATTTTTAAGTCTCCCATCTGTGTGTTGGAATTTCCTTCCAAGCCTATGTATTGCTCGGGTATATTATCAATTATTATATATAAAGGAAAATGTGTTCCAGATGCTTGTGAGTTTAACTTGAATGATCTTGTTGACGGTTTATAGGCATTTGCCTGGCCTGAAGGTCAATCTTGAGAGGGTGGCCTTGGTGGAATTGATGGGAAGTCTTGCCGGGTTTTAGGGGACTTCGGTGATTCTTTCTATAATGGCCTTGGTGGAGTCTTGCCCGGTTTTAGGAGACTTTGGTGGTCCTTTCTATAATGTCTTTGCGTATTTTTATGGAATTCCCAACAATCTCAAACTGGTGTATAGTTCGTCTTGAGGGGCAAGTGTTCATGAACTTCCTGTGCTTAAGTAAGTAATGATGGCCTTACTGTTTCTGGCAACCATTTCCGCAGAGTACGGGATGTGGACATGAAGCACGACTATGCCTTCGTAGTATGTATCATCTCTCTGTTTTCCCTTTATTATGGTGTTAATATTTTCATTAGTTCCCATTTTGATCCCCCAACCATCCCCGCCAAAAAAACTTTTGTTTGCTACACAATGTGTTTAAACAGGAATTTAGTGATCCTCGAGATGCTGATGATGCAAGATACTATTTAGACGGCCGTGACATTGATGGACGCCGCATAATTGTTGAATTTGCCAAGGGAGTAAGTATTCTATACATGTATTTCCTTGAATTTTCCACTCGTCAATTTGCTGTCCTGACTAGTGAATAGGGCTCCAGTAAAGCTGCTAGATAACCTCATTTCTTTCTTTCTCTTTTAACTGCACTTTATTTTCTCCGCCTTTTAAGTTGAATTATTTATATATAGATGCTGAATAAAAAGAGGAAGGCATTTCTTGTTTGAACACATCATCAAATTGCACTGTCCCGGTTTAACGGAAGTGGGCCAATTGTACTTGCATGATCCTATTCACAAAATAATTATGTAAATGAATTAATTGTTGAACTTGGTTTCCTATGATGCATCTCGGCTGATTCTGATATTGGTTGTTTCTCTAGGTGCCACGTGGACCAGGTGGTTCGCGCGAGTATCTTGGCAAAGGACCCGCTCCTGGGTCAGGCCGCTGCTTCAACTGTGGGCTTGAAGGTCACTGGGCTCGAGATTGCAAAGCTGGGGATTGGAAGAACAAGTGTTATCGATGTGGAGAAAGAGGTCACATAGAAAGGAAATGCCCAAATAGTCCTAAAAAAGTCAGGTACTTTAACCTCTGTGAAGCAAATGCCTTCTTTATTTTATGCCCCAAATCTTTTCCTTCTGAGTTTCTTGACTTTGTGGTGTTCATTGCAGTAGACGCAGCTACTCACGGTCGCCTGTTAGGTCAAAGTCACGCTCACGTTCACGTTCTCCTCGTCGAAGTTATAGCAGAAGTCGCAGCTATAGGTGAGTTTTGACACATGTTTAGATGGTATTCATTTTGCTGTGCTATTTGCTCGGGTTGTCCCCATGAATTCACTTGCAGATACTGAAGTCATTATTTGTAAGTTAGAATGTGGCTATCAATATTTGCAAATACTCATCATCAGTAGATGAAAATATTGAAAAATTAGTTTGGGAGTATATCAGGTGAAATTTGTAAAGCTTCTATCCAAGACACAGCTTCAACTTCCAAATATTTTTTCGGGCTTCAACTTTAGTCACTAAATATGGTGTTCAAACGCTTGAGTAGATATATTTCTGAGCTCTCTCCTTCGTTCTTTCAGTCAATCAAGATCCCCGCCACCAAAGAGAGAACAAGTGGACCAGGTCAAGCGATCAAGAAGCTACAGTAGGAGCCCGGAGCCAAGGAAGGCTAGTCCAAGCCCTCCACCCAAGACTAGGAAGCGCAGCCCAACACCTGAAGAGGGAAGCCCGATGGAAGCAAAGAGCCCTCCTTCACCAGTGAGAGAAGAAGGTGCCTATAGCCAAAGCCCCAGAGAGAGAAGCGTGAGTCCTTCAAGTCCTAGAAGGGATAGCCCAACTCCTCGAAAGTATGATGATGACAGCCCTGCTGAAGCTAATGGTGGAAGTCGAAGCCCGAGCCCCAAGTACCGGAGGAACCATGCAGATGAAGATGATGAGGATGAAGGTGAGTTTTGTAATCAACGCTCCGGTAGAGAGAGCCAATCACCTTGAAACTTTTGGTGGTATCTTTCTGAATGCATTTTGTGAAGGCTGGACCTTGTGAGGACTAATGAGATGTTACTTGAAAGAATCAGACTTGCATCTATATTTGGGATTATTATATGTTAGTACAATACTTGGTATTTGATGAATACTAGACTAGCCATTGAACAATATAAAACCTGTTCAAACAATGAAATTACAAAGTCTGGTGAAATTCTCAATGACAAGTTTGCTGGCGTCTTGATGCATATATACATTCTTCATATTTGAGAACCAACGATATATTTCACTTATTTTGGGTCTTCAAAGTTGAGTAAAGTAATAGAAGGTTGTCTATCCCATCAACTACGTAAGTTTTAATGCTAGTACTCTTCCTCTATGAGCGAGACTTCGTGACACCTTTTGTTCTGTGAACACTCTGCCGCTGAATGATTCACATATTTGATCAATTGAGTGTCTTTTTATGCCTTAATTTGAAATACATTATCCACTTAGATTGTACGAGAAACTTTCGAGCATTTGGCGATTTTAGATGTATTAATATGATCGTGACTCCTTATATTGATGAATCACTTTTTTAATAAAAGAAGATTATATAAACACTTATGTAAGATCTCATTAAGAATTTGTCATGATATATTAAGACCCCGTTTGGATTGGCTTAAAAGTCGGTCAAACTTACTTTTAAGTCAGTTTTTGACTTCTGAAAGTGTATGACAAATATAAAAAATGACTTAAAATAAGTCAGAAACCAAAAGTAGGTATCCCCTACTTTTTATTTTTTGACTTAAAAGTCATTTCAGTTTGACTTTTTATTTTTGATCTAAAAGCTACTTTTTTTAAACCAATCCAAACATGCTCTTAATCGATGCATATTACCATCAAATGAGGCATAAATTCACCCTTGAACTTGTCTCGAAAAGTCAGTTACACGCTTAAACTATCATGTCGATCTATTACACACCTTTACTATTTAAAAATGATTTTTTACCCCTAAAACTGACGTGGCAAAAAATAAAAAAAAATAAAAAAGAAAAGCGCGTTTGACATTAAATAAAGTAAACTTTTTACTATCACCCTACCCCCACCCTCCATCCCCCACCCAACGCCTCTTCTTCTTCTTCACAAGCAACCATCTTCTTCTTCTTCTTTATTTGTTTTCATCATTTTTTCATACCCAATTTCCATCCACCCCACTATACCTCCACCAAAATCCTCTCCCCCACCCTTCCATCATATCCTATTTTAATGCTTATTCGATTTCACCATTTTCATTATTATTTGATTTTTCTCTTCGGCTTTGTTGGTGATTGATAAAATTGATGATTAAGTTTAAAAAATAAAATATAATGATGGATTTGTTGGCGTGGGGTGACAAAGAAACAGGAATTGAAAGTGGTGGAGAAGAAAAAATCGATATTGACAATGGTGGTAGTGATATTTGGTGGTGGGTTTGTACCTTTTGATGGTGATGATGTAATTTTGGTGATGAGTTTGTTTATGGATGTCAAATTTTGTTGTGGATTTTTCTAATTTTTGTGGGGATAATGGTGATAGTATGATTTCGATGGTAGATTTGATTGTAGGTGGTGAAATTTATGGGGACTATTTTGATTTTCATGGTGAAATATATAGATTTGGTAGTAATATAGCGGCAATGATAGTGGTTTCATTGTGGTGTTCATAAGAAATAATTGAATGATATGGAGAATTTTAGTTAAAATTTGACATGACATCTGATGTGGCAGTGACATGGCATTGATGTGGCATAAATGTGATACACCTCTCATTATGAGAGTGGTGCTACTAGTCTTAGGGGTAATAGGTCACTATATTAGTTTAAACGTGTAACTGACTTTTCGAAACAAATTCGAGGGTGCATTTTCCCTATTGGCAATAGGACTAAACAATAATTAATTATTTTTTTAAAATCAAATTTACACAAAATAAAGTAATTCCTTTTGACTATATATGCAAAAAAATAATTAAAATAAGGACAAAATATAAACGTCTGAAAAGGGCTATTTCTGCAAAGAATATATATGGCGCCAATGACCCAATCAATCCATAAGAAATCCAAATGTCTCATTCGCTGTCTACGGTGGCTCTGCCGCGTTTCGCCACCGTCATCACGGCGGCGAAGCAGCCACGTCAGAGACCAAGCGCGAAAACCCAAAGCGGCAAGCAAAAGACAACAACCACCATCACTCCAGGTGTACCGGCGGCCACCGCCATGAAAACAACGTCAGGATTTAACAGCAGAAACAAAGAACCGACGTGGCAATGTGTCCAGAACTGTGGTGCCTGCTGCAAACTTGATAAAGGGCCAAATTTTCCTTCCGCTGAAGAAATTTTCGATGACCCTTCTGATATTGAGGTTTTTTGTTTTCATAATTTTGAGTTTAAATTATGTGGGTGTTATGAATATGATGGTTTTATACTACATTTATCATATTTTATAAGCTATTTGAATGGAGTTTGATCCTTTATTATGTTGGTTTTGAACTCGGATAAAGGAGGAGGGTTGTTATAGAAGCTGGAAGCTAATGTAAAACTTGTCAATTCATTATGAATCGTCATAAGTATGACATGAGCTTAGTTAAAAGAAGTGGGCATTTGTATAGACGACCCTAACTTGTTTGGGACTGAGACCTAGTTGTTGTCGAGCTAGCTTTTCACCGTCAAATTCAAAAATGTGGATGCAAAATGCTATCCTACTTTGTTGTTACGTAGCAGTAGAAGCTTGCTTATGCTGCCTGCTTTGGTGGCACTTTTTCGCCCTCTCTTTACTCTAGATAGGAGCGCTAGTGGACACGGGGGCAAAGTGTGTCGGTTTGTAATGGACAAAAAGATACCACTACTTCACCTCTTTGTTGGACTGCTGGTGCGAACATAGTGGTCTCTCACCAGGACCAGGAACGTATTCGAATTTGGATCTTAACATGTCGGTGGTTTTTAACCGTAGGCATTTTGTCGGGACGTTGATGGGCTTATCATGAATTAGGTTGGATGGCTTGTGGTTTCGGGATCCCGTAGAAAATGCTTCTTTTATGCCGTAGTAAAGTATCAAGATATGATTGAATTTAGTAAGATTAGATAAGTTAGAGTATTTGATTTTCAGAGATAAGTGGTTAAACTGAATTTGAGTTCTTAAAAGTTGTCATTTAAGTAATAGATTTTGTGCAACATATTTTCGGATTCCGAAATGAAAAGACAATTATATGAAGTTTGAAGCTTTTATATGTGGATTTTCCTTCTCAGTTATTCAACAGCTTGGTGGGTTCTGATGGATGGTGCATACATTTCGATAAGAGCACAAGAAAATGCTCCATTTATGCTGGTGAAACTTGCTTTTTTTCCTGTTGGAGTTTGGAGATATCATTATTTATCTTCTTTTTGCTTTTGTTATGTTGGTAAATTTCTTCTCTTTGCTTTAGATCGTCCCTACTTTTGTCGGGTTGAACCGGACATCTTTGAGACATTGTATGGGATTGAAACGAAAAAGTTCAACAAGGAAGCTTGCAGGTAATTCATTGATATTTTCTCATATACTCCTTGCCTGCCTTTCGACTTTGTGAAAGTCTGAAGTCTTCTCCAGTGAAATTCTATTCGATACTGATGTTTTGATTAAAGAAATGATTCGATTGTAGTTGTTGCATAGACACAATTAAAGCGGTGTATGGATCAACCTCAAAGGAGTTGGAGAATTTCAATGCTGCAATATGGAGTTCAACTTAGTTCTGCATTCTATTTCATGAGGTAACTTCTCTTTTCCTTTGGTGCACTAGATTTTAGTTCAAGGTGCTTAAGTCGTCAGGATGCTTTTACTGTCTTGACAGATCCCGAATTTCGGGGTATAATTAGTGAATTTCTTAATATATGGGTTCCTACAACAATATCAAGTTAATATATATATAAATAACTTGGTTCACAATCAAATATTTATAGATTTCTAGTGATTTTCTTACTATATGTATACAGGGTATACACAAAAGCTACTGAGTTCCTGTGAACCCATATATTGTATGCTGTCTCCGCCTCTGATAACAGATGTCGACTTTTGCACCCAAATTGATAAATTGCTAAGTCTCTTTTGTGAGCTTGTATAATTTTCTTCTCTCAAGATGTTGGAGTTTACATGAGAAGTTATAGGCTTTTTTAATCATCTTCATATTCTGAGTTTCAGGTGAATCATTTTGGTGGTTTTCTCTGTCGATCAGCATTTGCAGCCTGTTGCAGTTGCTAGGCAGATCGATGAACCATCATAGTTGTCATTTTTATATAATTTTCTATCGCAATCAGTTCTATGCGTGCATAATGAACTGGTGCGCTGCACTTGGATCTGGAATACTCAAAAGTTGATGGGAAATCGCAAATTTAAAGAGTATGGAGATCTTTTTTGCTAGGCAGATCGATGAATCATCATAGTCGATGGAAGATGTTGGTGATTTAGCCCGGGATCGTCTTCTCTAAAGGACTAGAATACAGTGAGACAGTAGCTTCCATGAGTAGACCTATGTTTTCTAATGTCAGATTTCATTGTATGGCCAATCTTTTACCAGAATTTGTGGGAGAAGACTTTGCTTTATATAAAAAAAATTCAGTTTATTCATCTTTTTGTATCCTTTATACAACTATGGCCTATACTTTGCTGTTTTCTTAAGTTCCTTGGATGTAAAAATCACTACTATAGGTCTTTGATGAAAAGAGTTTTTTTAGGAACATCCGTAATGAATTACTGAGTGATATCCATGGCATCTATAGGATCCACGCCACTCCTTACATGGTTTAGGGGTTACAAAATAAGAATTAGAATTTTCTCATTTTTTTCTATGTTATAGTCCATGAATTTTCAAAATATGACCAACATGATTTTTTTATCCAAAATTTTAAGGGACCATCTGCAATGACTTAGTGAACGATCCACTCGTAAGAATATAATTCTTTTTGCAATTTTTTGTATGTATTCCATTAATTTTTGGGAATATAACTGACAAGAATTTTTTGACCCATTTTTTTTTAGAATCATCTGTAATGACCTAGTGAACAATATCTATAAAATCTATAAGATCCACCCACTTCATTTAGTGTTTAGATGTCACAAAACATGAATTAAGGAATTTCTCAATTTCCATGTGTATTAGTCCATGAATTTCTAGAAATTGGACTGGTCAAGTTTTCAAAATTTAAAGAACCATCCATAATAACCTAGTGAATGATACCCATAGCCTCCACAAAATCCGCACCACCTTTTTTCATCATGTAGCTGTCATGAAACATGAACTCATGATTTTCTCAATTTTTCATGTGTATAGTTCATGAATTTTTGGGAAATAGACTAATTAGATTTTTGAACCAAATTTTTTCTTAGACCGTGTGTTAATGACCTAGTAAACGATACCCATTGCCTCTTTATGATCCGCACCACTTTTTTTAGCGTTTACGGATCACAAAACATAACTTTGAAATAGACTGTCTTGTAAAACAAACTAATAAACCTCCTCAGTAAATTTGCCTCAATTTTAGCCATTTGTATTGTATTGTATCTGTGTTGGGTACTATAAAGTAAGAATATTTGAATGATGTAACATGACCTGATTTATGCCAGGAAGAATCTGCCATATCATTGTAAGAACCTCATATCTACTCCCACGTTAGTCTTCACGGGGAAAATACGCTTGATGAGCTAGCTTTTGGAGTTGAATTAAGCTCAAAATTGTGCATCTTCTCTACATTACTATTCACCGGAATCAGTTTCTTCTACACTAAAACTTCTCATGTGATCCACCAAAACATCCACCAAGCTAGCAATCGATTTAATATGTCCCATCGATATATCTTCAGCAGTAAATCGAAACACTTGATTGCTTATCTCGATCCAACTATAACCAGGATCCCGTTTAAGTCCATTGTCTTTCATCAACTTCTGCATTCTAGCTGCCTGATCCCAGTATCCTAAACGAGCGTATAAATTTATCAGCTGCAGATGAGTAGACGTGGACCATGGTTCCAGTGCAAGCCTATTCTCTGCAGCCTCAATCCCCAACCGAAAGTTCCCCTGAAGCCTACACGACATAAGCAAGGAACCCCAGATAACACCATTTGGCTGAATTGGCATCTTCTTGATAAACTCACGAGCCTCTTCTAATAAACGTGCTCGTCCAAGAAGATCCACGATACATGAATAATGATCTACCTCAGGCTTCACACCATAATCAACCATCGAGTTAAAGTAAGACATGCCTTCTTTAACAAAACCAGCATGACGGCAAGAAGACAACACCCCAAGGAAAGTAATCGAATCAGGCCTCACTTCTTGCTTCTTCATTTCCTCAAAAAGTTCAATAGCTTGAATAGCATGTCCTTGCTGTCCATATCCACAAATCATCGAGTTCCACGACACCAAATCTTTACTCTTCGTATTATCAAAAATGCACATAGCATCCTTTACTTCCCCACATTTACTATACATTGATAAAATCGCATTTGCAACATGTACATAGGACTCAAAACCCATAACAATAATCTGGCAGTGAATACTTCTTCCATGACCAAAACATCCACTACCCATACACACGCTCAACAAGCTCGTAAACACGAATTCATTAACCTTCAACCCCAACCCCATCATACCCTTATACAGCTTCAAGCACATACCCAACTCATTCTCCTTCGCAAAACCATTTAACATAGCACTCCAAGACACAACATTTCTCACAGACATTTCATCAAACGCTTGGTACGCATCTACAATTGCTCCAAAATTACTATAAAAAGTGATCAAAGAACTACCAATATACACATTGGATAAAAACCCATTAACAATGACCAAACAATGAACTTGAATCCCTACATTAAAAACCCTTTTCGATGCACACAAACTCATAGCATTCGATACTAAACTAACCCCAATTTTACACCCTTCTTTATGAAATCTAAATAACAATGAGACTGAATCTTCTTCCTTTGAATACGAAAAAGAGTTATCTTTATCCAATGGGTGTTTACAATTTTGCACAGAACCTGTTTGAAGAAAGTCCTCAATGAGTTTAACACAGTTTTGGTGATTCTTGATCACATTTTGCTTTGGAGCTAAGATATCAAGAAATCTCTGGCCCTTCAATGGCCTCTTTATCTTTGTGAGTGGCAAATTTTTTCTCATACCATAACGAAAAAGGAGATTGTTCATTTCTTCTTATTCCAAACTTAATTTGAAAGTCATATTTTGATTCATACTTTTTCGAATACCGAAAATAACCAACGAATGAAAAGTGTTTTTTTGTTTGCGTGGATTTTAATGGGAACTTAATGAGTCGATCCACCTATAGATTAGTGGAGTTGTATCTGGTTTTTTTTGTTGTTGTTGAATCTTTTTCACCGCTGATAGGTAATTTGATAAGCCAAATGATTACTTTTCGTGTTTCAGAATACGATGAACCAACATGTTAACTAATCGATAACTATAAATTGAGTCGTATTTATTTAGAGAATTATTAGTTTCATTTTTAAACCTTAAAAACCTTCTCAACTTTCTTGGTGCTAAAGACCAATGACTAGTTAACCAGGAAGACAACTATTCTTTTGTACGAGAAGAGCGAGTTTTGATCCGGGGTGAGAAGCCAATAGGAAGCTTGCTATGGAGACGACACCTATGTACTTGATTAATTGAACTTAAAATACCCTCAATTTTGTAATATGAGTAAAATACACTTCTAAATTCTCGCCATGTTTGGAGGTGTTTTCAACACTTATCTCAATTTTTTATTAAGAGCCTCATGCTTCTAAAGACTTTGAGATCACTTGCTTTGTCATGTGGTAGATCGGGAATGTATCTAGGTTTAGTTAGTCAAGTAAATAGGAGTTTTTGAGGTTGTCAATAGTTAAAGGACGAAACTAATAATTTGAATCAAATGCTGAGTGTTTTCAATACTTCTCTCAAGTTTATTTTAGTGTTGACCGTTTAGTGACATTTCTTTCATTTTTTATGGAGAAAAAATTATTATTTTTTAACTAAACATATCAACTGTTTATTTTTTGTTTTAACATTTTATTGAAACACATAATTGTTAATTCATAAATTGAATGTCAACATTTTGAATACGTTTTCAGCGTTTGATACTTCAAAGCTATCCAAAAAATGTTGACTAAAATTGCTACATTAATATTTAATGGTACAATTTTTGGAATAGTAAATAAGTAATAAAGTCAATTAGCTACAGCACACCTATTCTAAAAGACTAAAAAACTTTGGACCATTAAATTTGAAGTCCAAATACTTAAATTATTCTTGGCCTTATTAATATTTTTATTGTATTTTCTTGATAATACTTCTATTGCTTGTCCAATTTATTTGAATAACTATGGTATGATGAACTATTACGATAATTTAATATTAATATAAATACTCGATTTGAATGTTCATTTTAAAAAGAAGAATATGCTCAACTTACGAGCTTAAAAATAAAAAATATAAATATCCAAATCGATTAATTTTAAATTTAATTGATGGAATGGAATGAATACTACAATATTGGTAAAGTCCGAGAATTTTGGACTTCTTATATGACTTCAACAATCATTTTCCCTTTGAGTTATCTTTTGGGATATGAGTTAGGTCCAAGGTCTAATTTGATATAATATTAGAGCAGGACTCAATCCTATGTGACTCGATCCTATGTGGGCCTCCGGAATCCCGACAATAACAGGAGGTAAAAATACCTCCAATTCCTGAACATGCACACACCAGATAGGATAGAGATTAAAAAAAATATCTGAATTTGGACGTGAGGGGAATGATGAATAAAATGAATCCCACATCGGTAAAGGACGTACGAAACCTCTGAACTGCGTATACGACTTGGACAATCCTCCTCTTTTTGGTTCAAAATTATCCTAAACGCCCACCCCTACCTGCTCTCACAGTCTCGTTTAACCCTATTTACATCATTTTTTAATTATTTTTTTTCATGTTATTCTCATGTATATCAACAAATTGAACAAAGAAATATCAATTAAATCCATCACACCTATCCTAACACTAACATATATATGGACCATAAATTTGATGTCATTTAGCTCCAGCACACCTATTCTAAAAAAACTTAGGAGTTTGGACCACTAATTAATTTGAATTTCCATTGCTTAATCTTAATTAGTCTTGGTTAGCCTTATCTTGATAACATGACTTCCACACATGCCAATCAAAATTCCACAATGTTTAAAATTTCAACATTTTTCACAGTTTTGGTTTAAATTTAACGATCAAACTTTGGTAAGTATATGATTGAGACAAAAAATGCTCACTTTTTGGTGAACTTAAAAGATCAAAAGCGTTCATTATTAGTAAATTTAAAGGACTAAATCTGATTAGGTGATACTTAAGAGGACTCTTTTGAACCTAATACAAAAGATAATGGGACCATTTTTGTCACTTATATTCTCTAACTAGAACTCTTCCCTTCTCCTTCAAGAAAATTGGATGTTCATTTGGCATGTTGGGGGTGTGCAAAAAATCGAATCGAAAAAAGTGTTATTGGTTTATTGTTATTGGGTTATTGGATTATCGGGTTTTTAATGATTTTATAAAAAAACTTATTGGGTTATCAGTTCAGTATTGATTTTTAATATTGGATTATTGGGTAAACCGATAACCCATTAAGACTAGTAATTTACTACTATTACTTGTAAATAAATATTATATATTAATAACAATACCTTACTAGTTGCTGTCTTTGTCCTTTAGCCTTCAACTCACACTTTACATTGACTTTGAACTTCACATTATACAAAACGTTAAAATCTAAAGTAAGAACCTTATTTCTCTTAATTTCTCTTTGTGTTACACTTGTATAATTCTTTTCATATTTGCTATTGTTGTTTCTATTTTATGAGCATTTGTAATGTTACATTATTGTGTTATCGCATCAAATTTATTAGAAAAGTCATATATTTGTTTTATAAGTATTTTCTTATTGGTTAAACGAAAATCGAACCGTTAAGGACCAAAATCGATAAAAAATATTTTATTGATTTGGTTATTGGTTTAACATATTTAAAAACCGAAAACCAATAAACCGAACCGATAATACATGTACCGAACCGACCGATGGACGCGCTACTAAAAGTTTTCTGTAAAATCCAAACAAAATGTTTTTTTTTCATCACCATTAACTTGGGGCGTCCTTTAACTTAACATTTTTAAGTCAACCTTCTTATAATCAACTTTGAATTTTCTTCACACATGCGAAACAAAAATCCACTATGCTTACTTGTATATATATATATATCTACTAATCTCACATTCATAATCGCAATAACTTGACTTCTTTTTCTCTCCACTAGACCTAAAACTCAATGGGGTTGTTTGAAAACACATTGTTCCTCATTTGTTTCATGATATTAGCCATATTTCACTCTTGTGACGCCCAAAATTCACCCCAAGACTATCTTGCGGTTCACAACAATGCTCGTGCTCAAGTCCGGGTTGGGCCTATGTCTTGGGATGGCGCCTTGGCAACCAAAGCACAAAAGTACGCCGACTCAAGAAGGGGTGATTGCAACTTGATTCATTCTGGTTCAGGGGAGAACCTTGCCAAGGGTAGTGGCGACTTCACAGGGAGGAGTGCCTCAGAATTATGGGTGGCGGAGAAGCCAAACTATAACTATGATACCAACAAATGTGCTAGTGGGAAAGTGTGCGGACACTATACTCAAGTAGTATGGCGTACCTCAGTTCGACTAGGTTGTGGTCGGGCTCGTTGCAACAACGGGTGGTGGTTCATTTGTTGCAACTATGCTCCTTCAGGAAACATCGTCGGACGACGTCCTTACTAAAAGTATGTTTACTTATGACATGTTGTATGTATTAGTATTTAATAAAATTCCCCACCTTATAATATGTCAAGGGGTTTAAAGGGATTAAATGGACTTGCATAATTATTATTTTCCCTTGATATTGCTAGTATGAATAATTCCATGCACCATATTTTCATGGTATAGGGCAGGGTGGGCATGTTATATCATGGTACAACATTGAGAATTTCGATTCTAAAAATAATACTCCCTCTGTCTTATTTTATTTTATGTGACACCAGTTGACTTAACATGATGTTTAAGAAGATCTTTTTTTTTTTGAAACTTGTGGTCTAAAACAATCCTTAAATATTTGTGTGGTTGAAAATCATCTCATTAAAGTAAAATAGGTATTTTAAGGTTAAATTTATTTCTAATTATAGGAAGATGACATTATTTTTGGGACGGACTAAAAAGTAAAGGGTACCACATAAAATTGGACGATGGGAGTATATCATTATCTATCATACAAAATTGATTTGATATTTTATGGTACGATAAATCGATAATCATATATATAGTTAATTTGTTCAACTTCCTCTTACATATACTCATATGGAAAAGAATTACTGAATTATAACTTCGACTTTTTAATATACATCCCAATTATATCATACTTACCGATGTAGACATATACTCAAAATTAAAGTACAAGAAATTATATTCTTTTTAAATGTATATATTAAAAATACATTTAAAACATAATAAGTCATAATAGTTAGTAATTTAAAATGCTTAAGAAAGTGTGGTGGAAGAGTAATCTATTTGAGATCCATAATAATAATGTTGTCTCACATATATATATATATATATATATATATATATATATATAACCCAATCGTGATGAGTGGATTGTAAGTATTTGAATCAGTCGAATTATTGAATATCAGTTCTTCGATAGTTAGAAATATATATACACTTTTGAAATAATGTGTAACCAATAAGGATATGATTTCTCTGAAAAGATGCACTACAACAAATTTTTTTAATGATAATAATATAATCATAGCGATAATAATAAATATGAATATTTATAAATACCTCTTTTGTTACGGTGACGTGAAGTCTACTCCTTATCTTATTAAAATTGGAGGGGCAATTGTGAAGTCGTTGAACAGCGTGTAAATATTTGCAAAGAAAATTAGGAGAACTTCGAGATTCAGTTTTTCTTTTTTCCTTAAAAAATTTAACTAAAAGAATTTAATATTAAAAACCCCAAATTAGTCAAATTAACTATTTTAACATTAATATAAATAGATTTAAAGAATAACTCGATACTAGCAAGACAAAAATAGAAAGAAAGATTAAATGTGATAAAGTGAGTTAAAATTTAACAGGTTAAAATTAATATTCTTGAGCTTTGTTGTCCCACTTTATTTTTCATCCAATACGTTACTTCTTATATATTGAACTTCTTTGATAAATTTTTTATCTCCATCGGCCTTTTTGACTAAACGTTGAATTGTTTATTCTTTGTTTTTAAC